AATCGAACCCCCCCCCCCCCTCAATCGATCAGAGCTCTTCTTGAGTAACTGAAACTGGTAGAAACTTAATAAAGTATCAATTTGTTACAAATATATTGGAAGAATAGGTACTCGAGAGAATAATTTTTCGTATTATACTAACAAACATCCAAGTTTTCTGTGCTAACTTCTGCGCCGGCCCTTTTACGAATAACATGACAAGCATACTATTATTGTACGTCTAAAATACTTTTATTTTTTCATTAAATATGTGACAGAACAAGCAAAATAAACACTTTAGAAACTTCAAAATACAAGTATACATGGAGAGTAAACAAACTAATCCATGCCAAATATTTTCCTTAAATTTTTAATATTCCTTTGTCTCCACCTGCCATATCTTTTGGTGATTGTCTGTAGCGACTACAAAAGTGGCTTCCATATGTGAGGCCCTATATAGTTCCGAAAAGAGGATGATGTATGGGTGGGAAAAAGACATGACACGTGGACTACCATCAAGGTGACAGGTGACACTTCCAATTAAACAAATTAAAGAATTCAAGAAGGCACAGGAGAAACACCCACGGAGTTTCTCTAGGAAAAGAACCGACCCTAACAACTAAAAAAGAAGAAATAAGATCGGAATGGATAAAGACCATAAGGATGGAAGATGCACGAATCTGGTATAAATAAGGGAGGGAAATCGACATCAATCGTGATTACGGGAAAACTTCAGTCATAAATGCTTACATTATAATTATATATGGTAACGAGTAATCAAGGTAGTTAATGTCATTAACAAGTACGAATTAAGTAAGGGCCTAGTCCTCATTTGTAATGGTAACTAATTTTTTATCAATATATGCAATTATTCTTTACTTTATTCAAAAGATTCGGACCGCAATTTGGGAGAGATTATTAATCTGTTTTGAGTTTTCTTTCCTGTCAATTATTTTCATTATTTGTCTTACTTTTCGAATTATTAAGAAATTGAAGTAAATTTTGATTATCAGTAACCCAATTTCTTCATGATATTGACTTTGACCGAGACATCTATTTTTGGATTAAACAAATTGGTTCCATTATCGAAAATCTTATAATCTGTTCACTTTCCAAACTTCATTTTTAACAACCAAATATGTCAATTGCTAACGAGAACAACTAGCTGAATCAACAAGGCGAAACTCTAACACATTACACACCCACAAGAACTTTTCAGCATTCACGTGAAAGTTCACCTGGAAGGTCTGCTTCGCTCACTGATGGACAATATGGGGGTGACCAAACAGTTGAGCAGGATGCTTTGAAGCAATTGATTGTTGAACATCTGAATGAAGCACTGTAAGTTTTTGTTAGAGGATTACCCAATGTAGCACAAACTCCACCACCGGTTAATACAACAACCTTGGAAAATTCGTGTTCGGGACTCGATAACTCTGGAAGTGAAGAAATACCCAATAAATCTCGCGATGAAGGGTCAGGTACACCAAATAATTTTAGTTTACAAAGTTTAGTACGAACTTTGCAGCAACAACTGAATGAGAAAAATGAGCGTATAGAGCAAATACTTGGCGTGACTCCCGTGATCAAAGGTGTGGATATTGACAAGTATTCACAACAACCCTAGAAGCTAAGTGCGGCACCATTATCGATTACTAAAATTTTTAAAATGTCTGATATTCCCAAATATGACGGGACGTCTGCCCACGGGATCATGTAACCGTGTTTACCATCGGTGTGAAAGGTAACGATTTAACCAAGTAGGATATTGAATCAGTTTTGGTTAAAAACTTTGGCAAAACTCTCACAAAATGGCGTTAACATAGTATAAAATTACTTAGAGAATTTGTAGATAGATTCCAACG